AAAACTGTCAAGGAATTTCCATGGGATGGGTTAAAAGTTCATAAAAAATTTGCGGAAATTCCATGGGGATGGCTAAAATTCAATAAAAATCTGCGGAAATTCCACGGGGGAGGCAAAAAATTCGCTTAAAAAATGTGGAAATTCCAGGGGAGGGGGGACCAAAAAATGGATGTCCTCAATAGGGGGGGGGTTGGTTTAAAAATGCAATGGCCCATTATTAATATTGATTCCTTTTTTATTATATTGATTTTTTTTACTAAAAAGAAAGCAAAGTTATTTGGATGCGAGAATTTGAAATCATTTTGTTGCAAACTCAAAGTTTATCGATAAAGCCATTTAATTAAAGCCTGGCTTTATAAAGAACGTTTTAAAACGTTTTGCGAAGCTTTTGTGGTTGAATTTTACCTTAAATTGAAGCTTATATTACGTATAATAACATACCTAACAAATATATGTTGGGAAATTGATAATTTTGTAATTAAAATTGATATTTTTAGGCAATTTTTCATTTGTAAGAATATTCTTAAAAAAATATCGTGTTATTACCATGACAACAACTTTGGATACTTCATGTTTGGAAAATACAATGGTTTTGTCAGCAAGGCGAGTAGCCAGCGTGGCCGGCTCTTTGTGCCACGCTGGCTACAAGGCGAGGGTTTCTGCATGCATGTATTTTCTAGTTAGATCTTACTTCATAACCCTGACGAGTGATAACTCTTGCTGCACGATTTTGCAGTTTTTGGAGTCGTTGAGCAAGTGTGATTGACATGTTATCCAAAACAACATCGCAATAGTCAAATATTGGTTGAATTAGTGAATTATATATTGTAAGTAATGTTGAAAGGGTAACAAACTCTCTCACTTGCCGAAGACCGGAAATTCCGGAGCATATGGTCTTAGAGATTTTATCAATATGATCTCTCCATGACAATCTTTCGTCAATAAATATCCGTAGTGATTTTGATACTTTAACTCTTCTTATGGGTTTTCCACCCAAAACTAAATATGGTATGTCCCGCAGTTTGTCAAGATTACTGTCAGACGCAATGAACATATACTCCGTTTTGGTAACATTCAGGGTAAGTTTATTTGCTTTGAGCCATATGCGAATATTTCAAGATCTGAATTGGCTCCAGATGCTATTTCCTTTATCGACTTTCCAGTTGTAGTTATATTTGTGTCATCCGCATACATTCGTGCTGTAGAATGTTGCAGACAAGAAGGAAGGTCATTAATGTAAACAAGAAATAGCAAAGGACCAAGAATAGATCCTTGAGATACCCCACATAGCAACGAGCGCTCACTCGATACTAGACCATTTACATTACATTTTTGTTTTCGGTCAAATAGATACGATTTAAACCAATTGAGACTCATTGAATCAACTCCATAAATCTGAAGTTTGCCGTCAACAAAATCTCATGATCCACCGTATCAAATGCCTTGGCCAAATCAAGAAACACTACAGAATTCAATTGACCTTTATCCATATTGCTTAACCATTCTGTAGTTGCGTCCAAAAGTGCGCTTGTGGTGGAGTGAACTGGCCTAAATCCAGACTGTTTATCATAAATAAGGCCATTTTTATTAAGGTATGCTTGCAACTGGTCATAAACGATTCGTTCAAAGATTTTGCTCACAGCACTTAGAACAGAAATTGGTCTGTAGTTATTTAAAAGATCTTTTGCATCTCCTTTATGAAGTGGCTTAACTTTTGCAATTTTCCAATCATCTGGAAATACACCAGTTGCTATTGAGCAGTTAAATAAGTTGCATAATGAGTCAGATATCACTGACGCGGCACATTTTAACAATTTAGCCGGAATCTCATCAAGATCCATTGCTTTTCCTTCCTGCAATGAAGAGAGTAACTTAAAAACAGCACTTGGTGTTGTCAAATCTAACGTGAAAACCGTATCCGCTTGTTTTAAATAATCACCGAAACTGCAATTATTTAATTCATCCGGTTCATCAGGTTTCAATTTCAACCCAATTTCTGCAAAATGATTATTAAAACACTCTGTTAAGTCAGCTGAATCACTGATCACTCTATCATTGCACGTAAGATGAGTGATCTCGTCTGACTTAGCATTACGAGACATTAGCTCATTGATTGATTTCCAAATTTCTTTTGGATTTCCCGAATTTGTTTTAAAATATTGATGGTAATAATCGGTTTTTGCTTGTCTAATTTTATTATTGCACGTATTTCTCGCATCTTTGAATTTTTTCCAGTCAGCTGGATTTTTTGACACCACCGCTAATTTCTTAAGTTTGTCTCTTTGCAAAAATAATTGTTTTAGATTTGCATTCATCCAGGGACTTTTTTTATTTCTAAGCCGTTTACGTTTTAATGGAGCGTGATTATCAACAACATTCATAAACATCGATTTCCACAATTCCCATCGGTCATTTGCATTTTCAAGATTATCAACAAGTGACCATGGTAAACTGGTTAATTCATTTTTGAATCTATCAACGTTGAAGTTTTTCATGGATCTAATATTAACAACGCGATGCCTGCTCTTAGTTTTGATAGCGACTTTGCGCACAACGTAAACCAAACTATGATCGCTTATACCCAAATGTAGAACACCTGATGTAACGACTCTTTCTGGGGTGTTTGTAAGAATCACGTCAATTAAGGTTTGGCTATTTTCATTACACCTGGTGGGCTCTTTGATAAGTTGTTCAAGCTGAAATAATTCTGAAAATGAGTTTAATAGCGTTATGGGTCGACGACTCCTTTCGGAAAGCAGATCACAATTTAAATCTCCTAATAAATATGTTTCTCTTTGTTCATTGTCAAGTAGATTAAAAATACTAGTCATATGATCAAAATACATATCCGGATCGCTTTCCGGTGGTCGGTAACTTACTACCACGGCAAATGGTTTACTGTTTGGCTTTATAATATCAATCACAATGGTTTCTGTGTCATCGGACATAACATCGCACCGAACCTTGAAATTGATGTGATTTTTCAAATATATACAAACTCCCCCACCATATCAGTTTCGGTCTTTCCTAATCAATTGATAATTATCAAGTTTAACACGATTGTCAGTTACATCTCTATCTAAGCGTGTTTCATTCAAAGCTATTAAGTCGATATTTTGTTCTGACAACCAAGTGCGTAATTCTTCAAAATGACGAGGAAGACTACCAATATTTAAGGAGACCATTTTAAAACCTCTTACCTGTAGTATATGTAAATTATCTAGTATCTCATCACAGCCTTTTTCGTTTAGTCAATCTAAATTATCTAGGTAATTCTTATAGTTTTTTGCAAGGTTTATTGTGCCACGATTATTCAGATGAACTTTGCGGCCATTTGAACAGTTAGTATCAATATTATTATGAATAATTAATTTCAAACCCTTAGATTTAGTTAAAGAACTAAGGGTCTCGTTCACACATACACGCTTCTGTTCAAGTTCAGCCGAATCTTGGCGTACCGATTAGTTGGGAAGTAGCAATATTTGTTGACGGAGAATCATGATTAACAATGTTACAGATTTTCTCAATTTCCTTTGCGATTTCGTTTGGAGTATTCGATCTGAGATTGTTTGTCCCAACGTGTAAAATTAAATTATCTGGTTTATACTTAAGTGATGGCTTGATATAGTGGGACATGTCTTCGACTTTTGCTCCAGAGAATGATTTCACTGTCACACGTCGAGATTTGTCAGACATCTTCCAACCTTGTAATCGTGATATCATAGAATCACCAACTATGACGGTAGAATTTCGATTCTTATACTCTGTATAATCAGATGATTTTCCTTCGAGAAAACTATTAAATTCTGCATCGTTTGGTTTTTGTTCACTCAGGTCAGGGGCGGATTCAGACAGGTTTGACAGGTTTATATAAACCTGTCAGATTTTCCAAAGAGAGAAAAAACCTTCCATGTATATAACTAATTTAAAGAATATTCTGTTTCATAAAATTGATGTTGTCTAATCTATTACGCCACTTAATAAACACTGTTGTTGAAATTTGATTATGGATTACCGAACGTATAATTAAGGACTTATCGCCCTGGTTTCCTCTTACGAAATGTTGTAATACTAGACTAATAATCTGCTAATATATCGTCGTGGGTCGTGGACTTGTAAACATCGCATGAATCACACATAACCGCCCGCAATTATGAGTAAACCGGTGGTCAGAGTTTTCTTCATGAGAGTAAACCGGTCGATACGCCATTCGATTGGCTAAACGGTTGTGCTCTGGCGGATGTAAACCGGTCATAAACCTGTGAGTCGAGCAGTATTTAGAGAAAACTGGGCATGAATGTTAACAGAACTCGAGGACGCGCGAAACATGTTTAAAATTTTGAAGGTTTGTTTAGAAGTATATAGTGTAAAGTTATAACGGTAAGCTCTTTCTACTTACTGTATAGTAAATATCGATTGATCAACAAGCGTATCGATGTTTATACGTGTAACTACAGTCTATACTCATGACAGCGCGAAATATGATATAAATGTACGTATAATCTTGCGTGACAGAATCATTCTCTTGAAGTTTGGTTTCTAGTTCATTGTTAAAGTTGGTTTGAAAGCGTATAGATCTAAAATTACAACTATGTTTATATTAAAAGCATCTCTACTTGTACTTATAATAACTATTGATGCGTCAGCAATTCAGTTGCCAATCCTATATTTTCAGCACTAGCTAATAGGTTTCCGAAACGGGTTCAATTAATCGTTTGAGCTGCGTGTTAGTCCAAAATTCTCTTGAAAGATATATTTTCTAATCATTAAATTCATTTAAAAAGTGACGCCAGAACGCAGGAAATGCTGTTTCAGAGGCCCAAATTTTAAAAATTTCCCGGCGGATCATGCCTCCGGACCCCCCTAATGATTGTGTGGACCTAGTAAAGCGGTCACCCAAAACGCTGCATCCGCCCCTGACTCTCGTTGTTAATTTGCGATTTCTTATTTTTATATTTACGTTTTAGTTTTTTAGATTTTATATCTTCCTTATTAGCCTC